TCTGGGATCATATTACTGGAACTGAAGTGTGACTGATGTAACTCCATGAAGAAATAGGGGGAATTGTACTAGGAGTGATTGGAAGAGTATCTTTCTGCCCCTGCTTCAGTCTCCCCAATAGCTAGAACCATAGGCACATATCACAGAATAGATCTGGAAAGATGTATCCATATTTTTTAAGCTATATGAAGGCTGTCAGTGACTTCTGAATACTAGGTTGAAGCAAAATATCTTCCCAATAGAGGGAATTATATGAACTTTATCAAATATGTCTGAAAACTGGAATATATTTCTCTGAAGATAGTTCTTCATGATACTAAAATATTCATTTTGATGTGTTTGAAGAAAAGTTTGCATTATGTTAATATTCTGTTTTATGCTTTTATCTTTTTAAAAAAAATTTTTTTATCAGTACCGGGGATGGGACTCATGACTGTGAAGGCAGTTGCTTATGCCGCTGAGCTAAATCCCCAGCCCCTATTTTTATACTTTTAAGGTACATTCCAAGTTTTAAATAGTTTCCTATATTTGGAGAGAATATATTGATTTGGTGTAACAGCTCAATGAAATTATATATGTGAGGTTAATTACCTGTTTAACAAACATCTATTAAACATTTATGTGCACATCTCTTGGAGAATTCCTGAGAATTGCGAATTCTAGCACTTGTTTTCTAGGACCTATTTCTTAGTTGGGAATAAAACAAACACACGTTAAACTCTACGCAGCAATGTACAGTTTTTGATGTCAAAGCTGAGGTGAAATTATTTAAGAATTAAAGGAAAGGCAGTTCTGTGCTAAATGAGATGGTGATAGAAAGAGAGAGGACTTCACTGGGGAGTTTGCCTGGAAGTTGATTGGACAGAGGGATACGGATAAGATACAGGCACTATAAGATGCTCGCTGAGTTTACTAGGACGCGATCTGTTTATTCTGACCTGCGAGCTCCTGTTGAGAATCAGTTAGAAAAGAAAATTGGTTTCAAAATGAGAAAAAACGTTTTCCCAAGCCAAAGAATTATTGGAGTCTGTTGAACAGGAAATAGATGTTCTAGAAAAATACAGAATGGTAACCATTGTTGATCACCTAGTAATCCCCCCCTTTATTTTTTTTTTAATTTTTAATTTATTTTTTCATTTTATGCTATGTCCATCCTCCTGATCTAAATGACTCTGTTTTGCTTTGTCACACTGGGTTTTTCTTTGGTCCATCTTGTTTTGTTTTTTGTTTTTTGGCCTTTTTTTCAATCTTTTTTCTTTTCCACTTCAAAGAAAAACTTAAAAAAACTGTGGAAGTAATGGAAACGAAAATGCGCGATTGTTAGTGTAAAAAAGAGAGGAAGGAAAGTGATCTCAAGGATATAATTGCAAGTTTATTTAAATGTGTAGGAAAGAGAACCATATTGCTGAGTTTTTCTTGGATCATTGAACAGAACTGACTGCAATCTCACTGTATTAATCTCCACTTTGTATGCTTTAATTTTGTAATCTGGATAGCTGTTTGTAAGTTGACAATGTATGATCTATTAACTGGTGAACTCTTACTGTATGTTTTTTCTCTTGAAATTCTGTGTTGCTTCTAGCCTTTTACTGTCTTGCTTTGTTTAGTTTTGTTTTTCTCTTTAAATTTAAAAAAAAAAAAAAAGAAAAATAAACCCAGCAGCACTGTGTTGGCTGGTGTTGAGGGAGACTGGCAGTGGCTGTTGTTTAAGAATCTAGTTAGGGGACCATTGGAAGATTCAGGCATGAAAATGAGGGTTGGGAGACTTGAAAAATCTTCCAATGAAAGTACAGCATTTAGTGACTGAATAGACTGGGAGATGAAGGTGAGAAAAAGTTCACGTTACTTTAAAGCTGTAAATAGTGATCGAGGAAATAGTGAAGTATGGAAGAGAACCGATTTGAGAGTAGATGGTGATGTTCAAGATTTTGGACACGTTGAACTTGAAAGATAATGAGTTTGCATGTTAAGAACTCATGTTCTATAAATTTCAGTCTGGAGTTCTTTATGGGCTTTAAATGACATTATATCAATGTTCAAATAAAAAGCCATCATTACAGGATACTTTCTATTCACTTTGTGCTTCATAAAATTTTAAGAGATAGAAGTTGGTTAGTGATGGCCAAATGTTAATGAGGATTGTCTTAGTTACTTTTTGCTCATCACTGAGACAAAATACCTGATGCCCAAAGTTGGGGAAGGAAAGATTTATTTCTTACAGACTTTGGAGGTTTCAGTCCAACATCAGTTGGCTCCAAAGCAGGGTGGCATGGCAGGGTCACAGTTCATAGCGACTGCAAATAGCAAGGTGGAAACCGGCAAGAGAGAGACAGACCTTCCTCCTGCCATTACATCACATCCGGGCTCCACCCCTTTGTGGGTGGAGCACTGACACCATCAATCCAAGCTCTAGACAGTGAACCAATCACAAATGCACAATGCAAGCGCATGAGGCCTGGGGGCCACCGTCATAAACCATGACAAGGATTGAATGAATAAGTGGAGCTAGAACTGATGTCTCTTATTCTCTAACCCAGTAAACTATCTTGCAAAATTGTAATAATTCATAGGACTGAAGTTTTGGTAGGATCTTGAAGGTCACCTTACCTGGGCACCAACCTGAAGCTGAAATGCTTCCAGAGCTTCCCTAACTGGTGGGTTTTGTGTTTTCATCTACGTACGAACTCCTAGAATTTGAAGGAGGAACTCAATTTTACTTTTGAATGGCCGATTGAAATCTATCTCTGGTAATTTTAATCTTTTTTTGTTTTTCCTTTGAAGTTTAGTGACTTAAATCTAGCAGGTACAGCTTTGAGTTCATAAGCCCACTAGACATGAAGCATGCATTTTTTTCTTTTAAAGAAAAAAAGCAAGAAAAATAATGATACAAAATTTCAAAACAAGATAATAGGAAGGTGAGAATGGTTAATGCATTGAATATTGTTATCTTCAAAGTAATTGCTTGTATTATAAGACACAGGCATGAAAAACTGATCAAAAACATAGGCACAAACTTTTCAATGAACTAACAGAAATTAGGAGTAGAACTATTTTAACTATCATATTTTCCTGTTCCCGTTCTCTTTTCTCCTTTCCCTCATCCCAGTTTCTCTTTCCTTTTGAACAGTTTCTCCCCATTTCACAATATCTATTGTATATTTTGGATTGTATTTATTGTTTCAACTTCATACAGTAGGGAGACGATACAATGTTTACACACGTGAGTCTAATTTATTTCACTTATGAGTATGGTCTCAAGTTGCATCCTTTTACCTATAAAAGTCTCAAGCCTATCCTTCTTTATAGCTGATTAGTACTCCGTTGTATAAAAATACCACATCTTTTTTATCCAGTCTTCAGTTGATGGGCATTGGGTTGTTTCCAAGTTTTGGTTATTACAAATTGTGTTGCTATAAACATAGGCGCACATGTATTGCTTTGGTAGGATACTTTTAATTTTCTCTGGGAAAATACTCAGAAGGGGGAGAGCTGGGTCAAATGGAACCTCTAATCCTAATTTTTTGAGGAATCTCCACACTAATTTCCACTGGTTGTACCAGTCTGCATTGCCATCAACAGTGGAGAAAGGTTCCTTTTAACCACAGCTCTGCCAGCATTTGTTATCGGTTCATTTCTTGTTGATAGCCATTTTTTTCTAGAGTGAGATGAAATCATAATGTTGTTTTTGCATCTGTCAAATGACCAATGATGTTGAACATTTTTCATATATTTATTTGCTAATTGTATTTCTTTATCTGTGAAATGCATATTCATCTCAGATGCCCATTTTTGGGTTGGATCTTTGTATTTGGAGGTCTGATTTTTTTCAGTTCTTTTAGAAACTTGTATTTATTTAAGACAGCTGAAATCTTCAACTGGCAGGAGATTCAAGCCAGTCACTGCTCGTTTCCTTCCCTTTATTCCCAGTCCCCTCAAATTTCATGAAGACCTTAAATCTCGCAGGGTATGTGATGGACATCAGGTATGGGGCTGTGCTGCTTTGTGAAGCCCTGAGAGACTCTGTGCCTGGGCCCAGATGCCTGGTTACTTTTCCACGTGGTCCTCTCCACCTTCTAGCTTCCTCCTTAGGGGACTGCCTTGTGCAGGAGACTTCTGATTTCTGTCTGGAGGAAATTTTCATCTTTTTGGTGCATCCCAAGACACTCCTTCTTTTTTTTTTTACATTTCTTTAATGACTTTTTTGAGTCCTTTTTGAGACAGGATCTCTCTATTTGGTTCAGGCTGGCTTTGGGCTCACTTTGTAGCCCAGGCTGGTCTTGAACTTGCAACCATCTGCCTCCTTCAGCCTATTGAGGGCTGGGAGTACAGGAGGGCGCCGCCACACATGGCTTTTAATGACTTTACTTTAAAACGATATCCAGAAGAATTGCTAGCTTTGAGTAACTGACTTTCTTCGCAGCATGATTACTGAAGCAAGAAAATACCAAGGACTTGGTGATGTGCTTGAAACAGAGGTGGGAAAAGAGAAGGAACAAGCGTGGCTTGATATTTCAATACATTATCTCCCCCTCTTGATGTAAGCCTTGTTGCACATGGCAGCCTTTGGAATCTTTGATGGTTCCCCCACATTTATTCTAAGATACCACCAATAGGTGCAACTTTCTGATAAATTATATAATCTTGTCAGAATTAAACTTGGGGTGGCGTGGGGATTGTTTTTGCAAACATGTTTACTTTGTGTCTCTATTTCATGCACACCAATAATTCAACTTTTCATTATTGCCCAGATAGATAAGGGATCAAGTATAGACATTAAAGATTAGTTCCTTTGATTGACATTCACCACTGATAAACCACAGACATCATAAGTTTTATACCTTTCCTGTCTGTGAATAATAGAGATTTTTCATGAAGGCAGATTTTAACAATGTTCTTCCCTATTTAGTTTTTGAAGTGGACCAATACAACGAAGTATTTATCCTGGTGTAATTTTGTCTCCTGTATCAGTAGGGATTCATAAAGTGCTTATTTATTCACAGGTAATGAGTGTGTATATGGCAACTACCCTGAGCTATCTTTGGAAGAAATGCCAGATGCAGATGGAGTAGCCAGAGCTTCCTCCCTCAATGTTCAAGAGCCATGCTCTCCGGCCACATCCAGTGAAGCATTTACTCCAAAGGAGAGCTCTCCGTACAGAGCTCCCATCTACATCCCCGATGACATCCCCATCCCTGCTGAGTTTGAACTTCGAGAGTCAAATATGCCTGGAGCAGGACTAGGAATATGGACCAAAAGGAAGATTGAAGTAGGTGAAAAATTTGGACCTTATGTGGGAGAGCAGAGGTCAAACCTGAAAGACCCCAGTTATGGATGGGAGGTAAGAGCTTATTTTGTGCCAACACACGTGCGCGCGCACACACACACACACAGACACACACACACACACACACACACAGACACACACACTTATATAAGTAAAGAAAAGATTAATTATTTTACAAGACCATAATATTAGCCAATTCCATTTGTTACAATGTCTTCAAATAAGTGCTTAAAATTAACTTCCTTCTAATCTCTCTTCTTGAAAGAAACACTGCTATTAATATGAGTTTTATAATTTTTGTACAGATTTAGTATGTAAATGGTAAATATGTTTTCTATGTTTTTGGAACTTGACAACTCCTGTGGTTAATATCAGAATCTGGAAAATCTAATTTATAGCTGAAAAATCAGTAGGCAATTTCTCTGTGTGGGTAAGAAAGTGTTTTTGGAGATGTGATTGACCTTTGGTTTCACAGTATTTCAGTTAGACAGAAATCAGATACACTAGATTTATTTTGGTATATTCTCTTAATATTTATGATCATTAATAGAATATCTGGTTAGCTTTTAAATATAAATAAATATGCAGTGCCTTCAGGACTTAATTTTAACTCTTTTCCTCTTGCTTTATACGTGTCCCCTTGTGAACTCTGTTCAAAATGTCATAATAAAGACAATTCCTATTCAAATTCTAAAACGCCAAAAGTTAAGATCTGGATTTAGTTTGATTGCAAATGAGCAGTCTTTGCTTCATTTTGTTTTTAATCTATGCTTTTATACATGTGTATTGATGAGATTTTTAAAAACTCACTGTTGCATTAACTGATATGTGAGTTGAATACATTTTAAATCAAATGCGCACAAACTTTACGTCATTATTGTTCACCTTAATATAATGGCCGTAAACATTCTAATAATAAGTAACTCATTAAACTTTTATTACAAAATTTCCAGAGTTAAACAACAAGGGCAGCACTGCTCAAGATTGTCCGGAATAAACTGAGGCTTAATCATGAAATAATTTTGCAATTACAGGGCTGGAAAGTGCAGGGCTGGGCCTCTGCAGACGTAATACCTAAGCACGGGGGATGAGCCTGGGGAACATTTTGCACTTAGAGGAAATTTAAAAATTATCATCATTTTCTCCTTGGAATGAAATGTTTTCAACATTTACATGGCCAGGTGTTTACTGGGAGAAACTGTAGAATGATTTCTTTCTTTATGTCAAAACTGAGTTGTTTCCTTTCTTGAAGTGGTTGATGCCTTTATAAAATAGTTCATTGCTTTTTGGCTACCGATTGTGCATGTTCCCTCCTTCCAACAGTTTAGTTGATTGCGATCTCAGTAGTGTTCTTCAGCGTTTTAATGGCTAGCTCACTTTTGAGAGTGTGGATTTTATGTGTTGGAGATGTAAGAAAGAAAACCAGAAAAAGGGCTCTTCATGATTTCGGCATGTATTCCATGGAGGAACAGCTGGCTTCCTGACTCTTTCTTAGGTTGGTTTTGTTGTTTGTTTTAAATCTCACCCCAGTTAATACAAAATCCAATCATGATCAAAAAAGCCATTTTCACAAAGGCATTTCATCCCGCGACTGCCTGCTCATTTAAAATTGTCCCAGTGTCAGCCAGGCGTGGTGGCACATGCCTGTAATCCTAGCACTCTGAGAGGCTGAGTCGGGAGGATCACTGAGTTCCAGGCCTCCTGAACTACATAGTGAGTTCAAGGCCAGCCTCAACTACATACTAAGACTCTGTCTCAAAAAATAATTTTTTTATTCTTATTTCATATGGGCTTTTAACTCTAGCTTACTGTCCTATTTGGCTAGACAAGTAATTGTGATTTAACTTATGAGACCTCTCTTTTGGATACTATTTCATTTTTTTAATGGTAAGTTGAAGGAGAACAACTCTCTTAGGTGCTTTCAAAAATTAATGAGAATAAACAAAATCCACTTTCGGTTATTACTGAGCAGTATCTGTGTTTCAGCCTCTGCACTAAATATTTCTTCTACAGAAATCGGTCTTTCGTAACGGAACCGATCACTGCTATCTCAGGCACCGCCTTGGCCGTTTTCTCTCAGCCTGGCTCCTCTTCTGCACTGCTCGTGTTAATAAGCTGCATCACCGTTTTTCTAGGTGTTCAAAACAACAACTGCATCATATTGACTCTACCCTTTCCACATCAGCTATTTCTAAGAGAACAGTTTCCTTATTCTAGTGCTCACTCCTTACACGCTGTTCTTGTTAAGCACCTCTTTTCTTTCCTATCTTTAAAAAGTTTCTATTTAGTTTGCTTTTTTGTGACACCACCCATGACCTTCCTAATAAAAATTTAATTCTACCTTAATTTTGTTCGACCAGGAAAGATGAATCCAAAGAACTTAGTATATTCAGCGTCTAAATTATTTGATTATATTCCTCAATAAAACAAGATTTTCATTGGAGTTTACAAAGCCACATCCTCTGTGTGTTATGTCTTGTTTATGTTCCATGAATTTTTATGGTATTATCCAATGATCGGCACATTTTAGAAAAACAACTCTTCTTACTAAAAAAAAAACAACTTGAGACTGCTCCATGGCCTAACAAAAATGCCATAGACTTGAGAATTTAAACAACAGAAATTTATTTTCTCAGAAATTCTTTTTTTACAATACACATATTCTATTGTTTTAGTACAACCAAACCAAAATAGTATATTAAAGATGCGTTTGTTTGTGCCAATATGGTACAGAAGATAAGAATCCACAAACAGAAAACTCAGAAAATGGCTGTTGGTTACGTGACTGTTTCACGGTTTATCATGTTCTTCAATATTACTATTTATATTGGATACTATGTACATGTGCTATGTTTATCTGAAGCTCATACTTTTAACAAATATAATGTTGAAACTAGTAAAATAACTAGAATTGGGCTAGTCCATATTCTCACTTAGCAAGGAAAATGTGTGGCAGGAAGAACAAACAGCATGCTATTAATACCTAATTTCAGAAGTACTACAAACCCATCATTTACAATGAATTAGGATTTTTATTCATTGTTTATTGGTACATTTTAAATATGCATGATGATCATTTTATCATAGGGACTTTGTACCATACGTGACTTACCTGAATTTATTTCTCCCCATTCCCGTATTCTCCCTCAATCCCTCTTCCTCTCCTTATTTACAAAAGCTTTGTTTTCATTTTTCCTTCTTTTCTCGCTTTCTTTTCCCTCCCTTTATTTCCCCCTCCGACCTCCCTAGTTCCGCGACCCAACTGAGCATTTGCTTCCTGTTGCACAGTATCAGTGTGCATTCTGATCCTTATTTACACTTTCAGTTTCTTTCACCAGAGAAACAATTTCGCAGTCTCTGGAGTTCTGCTGACTTGGCTTTGGTGAGAGCGCTGCTCCTGGTTCCCGACACCGACCTCTCTGCTTCCTTATTCCGTCTTTCTGTGATCTTCCTTCAGTGTGGACGCGTTGCTGGGAGGCAGAAGTTGCGGAGGAATGTGGAAAGTCAGAGACAGCAGTGAAGAGGAGGAGAGGGAGAGGGGAGGGAAGGAGAGGGTGCTCTGGGCTCTCTCACTGGCGCGAGCCTCCATCCTTCTGTCCTTGTTTAGCTTTAATTACATCTTAGAACCTCAGCCTGCAGGCGCAGTCCATTTGGGGTTTATGATTTCACCACATAGCTGTCCAGTGAAGACAATGAGTAAGTAAATGAATAAATGGATACATGAAAGGAAGAATGAATGAATACAGGCACATGTGATTCTGAAAGAGGAGCCCAGGGCTGAGACAGAAGTATGTCCTTGGAGAAATAAAGCATCAAGAATTTGGATATGTACAATGAATTACTCAAATTCAATTTGTTATTGATTTATTATTTGATCAATAGATTATCAATAACTGCCCCACGTCATTAGTTGTTACATAAGGAAAATTAGGAGAAGAAATAAGATAGCATTTTCAGAGAAAATGTCCCAAAGAAAAAGACAAAAATGATATTACAAGGATCCACTTTCCCAAATCTATTTAAACAATTTTTTTTAAAAAAATCAGTATGTTTTCAAATAAGATACTTTGGAAAATCCGTATAGTATGTATATTAGATAAATATAATGGTTTAAAAACATGATTTACAGACTGAATATATGTTCAGATAAAATACATTGGTACCTCCATTCACGAACTTAATTTGTTCTATGATTTTGGAAATGATGAACTTATCTGTGCTTATGTGGGGAAGATGGTCATGACTGTGGTTTTCAACCAATGTAGAGTTTGCAAAGAAAAACAAAATTTTGCCAAATGCTTCTATTTGCAAACCAAATTTTTTGCAAAGTATTCATGAACTGAGGTACCTCTGTAAGTCCTAGATATCAGAAACGTCACTCGTATGATTCTTCTCTCTAGCCAGTGCTGATTTATAAGACAAAATTAAAGTTGCTAGTGTTAGATAGGAATTGCTACTTTGTGATGTATGCCATTTGTTTTGAACAAAAAGCTCTGGAAACCCTGCCTGGAGTTGGTGGGGTAATAGTGAGCGATATTTTCCTACGTTCTGAACTGCAGAGTAACTGACTGAGTGGAAAATTTCTTTTTAAAAAGCTTTGTTCTTTCGAGATGGAAGTTCTCTCATGTTTCCTTGTGGAGGTGATCACTGTGTGATAACATGGGGACTCCGGGAAGAGTGGTGCAGAGCCGGCTTCTGCAATTAGGCTTCCTAGACTCAAATTCTACTCAAGACTGTGTGCTAGTTGAGGGATTTGGGAGAAGTTGCTTAATTCTTTGACCTTCATGTTTATAGTTAACATGAAGATAACATTTATAATTATCCAGTTAACCCCATAAGAACAGATTTGACATTGTGTGTTAAGGGTTTTACATAGAGCTGGTAGAACTCACTAAATGTTAACAAACACAACTGGGCTAAAATACAGATCTAGCATAAGGTCATTAGATGAAGCGAACACCAATAATTATGTTTTACTGATTGGTTTTCATAAATTGTTCCTCTTCCCTCTTCTTCTTGTTTCCTAGAAGGTCAATTATCTGTGGGATGGTTTA